ATAGCCTGGAAATATCCAATAACTTGACATGGCTGAGACAAAACAAGAGAGAAAGGAGTGGTAGAAATGAGAGAAGGAAGGTACATTAGGGCCAGATGTGAGAGGTGTCTTATGCCTGTCACTGGTCTGTTAGTGCTCAAATCCATTCCCTGACCTTCTCTGCTTACCTCTATATTACAGGATGCTGACCTTGGTAGCCCACATTTCTCAGGATGTCTTGGCCACTGGCTTCTGGTTAGGTTTGGCCAATAGAGGCACAGATGGTAGACTAGAGGGCAGCATCTCAGGCAGTGACTGCGTCTACTCCATAGTCCAGTTCTTGCTGGTCACACTCTACCATGGCTCCAGCTCTGGCTGCACAGTCCATCCGGTGGTGCTGGAGGCTCCTCCTCTAACTTCCGGGTCCTGCCACATACCCTGGTTCCTGGGCTCCAATCATACTATAGCTATTCCTTTTGTCTTCTTTCCTAGAGATGGCAGCAGTTCCCTGCAGTTGTTGATTTCTGAGATGCCTCACCTTATTTTCAGCTCTGCCAAAGCTCTAAAACTAGTTCTCCACATTAAATTCCTTGTTATTTCCAGATTTTTTATTGTTGTTGCTGCTCTTATGTTATAATTAACTTGTTCATATGATTCCTGGTGCATCTGTCCAATAGTCTCTTTCTAACACCTTGGAGTAAAATTGCTAGATTGCTATCTTCAGACTTGTTTTACACAAGAGAAAAACAAGCCCATGTAAAAATGGATTCCTAGCTAATGCCACAATCAAAATTTAATTTCCATGGATCAAATATAAACAGTAAAAATTTGGAAGCTCCAAAATAAAATACAGAATATCTGATCTGTGCTAGGGAAAAATTTCTTATAGAAGATACAAAAAGAGCAATCCATAAAGCAAAAGGTAAAACATTAAACATACTCAGAATTAAGAACTTCTGTTCAACAGGACGTGATAAAGAGAATGAAAATGAAAAGCATAACTGGAAGAAAATAGTCACAACACATATAATGCACAAAATATTAGTATCCAGAATCTACAACTCCTACTAACCACTAAGAAAAAGACAAACAACCATACAGAAAATAAGCAAAAAGATTCTTGACAGAAACAAAAATCCAAATGCCCAGAAATGGAAAAAAAAAGCTTAATCTCATCAGTAGTCAGGAAAGTGAAAATTAAAACCATAATGAGAAACCATTTCAACTCACTAGACTAGCACAAATGTAAAAATGACACAGTACTAAGGTTTTGACAAGAATGTAAAGCCAGGTAGGGGCTCTGTCGGTTGAGCATCCAACTCTTGAATTCAGCTCAGGTCCTGATCTCACGGTTCCTGAGTTCAAGGCATGTGTCAGGCTCTGCAGTGACAGTGTGGAGGCTGCTTGGGATTCTCTCCCTCTCCTCTCTCTCTGTTCCTCCCCAATTTGCACATACGCGAGTGCTCTAAATAAATTTAAAAAAAGTATCGAGCAGGGCAAACTCATATATTCCTCATGGAGATATAATTTGGTATAACTTTGGAAAGCAATTTACCATCCCCTGGTAGGGTCATATAAGCACGGATCATATACCAAACAATTCTATTCCTAAAGATAAAATTAAAGTGTCTGTGCACACATGAAGCAAAAGACACTATAAGAAACTCCAATGTAAAATATCTTATAAGAGTCTCAATAGGCAAAAACTTTGGCCAGATTCAAATTTCTATTGGCAATAAAATGGATGATAAAATTGTCATGTATCTATGTCACGGATTTTTAATACAGCAGTGAAAATTAATACAAGCACACACATAAAATGGCCGAATCCCATAACAGTGTGAAAGTAATCACAGAATGCCATATGTGATTTAATTGATGTAGCTTAATAGACAAACCTGAATAACATTTTTTTAATTAAAAACATTTTTTTAATAATTTATCTAGTTTTGAGAGACAGAGTATGAGTGGGGGGAGGGGCAGAGAGAGAGGGAAACACAGACTCCGAAACAGGTTCCAGGCTCTGAGCTGTCAGCACAGAGACCCACATGGGGCTCAAACTCAAGAACTGCGAGATCATGACCTGAGCCTGTCACATGCTTAACCAACTGAGCCACCCAGGCACCCCATTTTGTAATTTTTTTTAAGGTTTATTTTTGAGAGCCAGAGAAAGACAGGGCAGGAGTGGGGGCAGGGCAGAGAGAGGGCAGAGACACCAAATCCAAAGCAGGCTCCAGGCTCTGAGCTGTCATCACAGAGCCCACCCAACACGGGGCTCAAACTCACAAACTGGGAGATCATGACCTGAGCAGAAATCGATGGTTAATTGACTGAACTACCCAGGCGCCCCTCATGTTAGAGGTATATACCTATGTATTAACCTTTAAAACAAAGGTCATGCTTAACACCAAATTCAGGACGATGGCTGTTTCTAGGTGGAAATGGGGAATGTGATTATGAACTGTAAGTTTAAGGAAAGGATTATGTTTCTCTGGAGCTCATAATCAAGTACCTGACCTAGTCTGTGAGTTCACAAAAGCCTACACGAGGAAAGGGCATTTGAGCTGATAGCTGAAGAATAAGAAAGAGTTAATTAGAACAGTGCTTCTCACAGAGCCCCACCAGTAGCTGTGAAATATAATGGCATTTCCAGTCATAGATTTTTATTAAAAATATAATTTTATGCAAATAAAAACAAAAAAAAACTGCCCATTGGAGTTTCTGCTCTTGTGCAGAAAAGACATCAATATTTTTAGAAAATGAGCCTTATTCTGAGACAATCTGGAGGCTCTCATTCTTCTTTAACGTAAACCAGACTTGAGACCAAAATCATCAATACGAAAATTGTGGCCATTCATAAATACCTGGAAATATCCAACTCTTCACTTGGGGCTATAAGAGAGACTTTGAAGAGCTATCAAAGCATTTGGAGCAAGCTGAGCTGAGGGCTGATATTATAAGAGAGACTCAATCTTTGTTTGGAGAAATATTTAGATCCTTTGCCCATTTGTAATTGAGTTGTCTTTAAGTTGTTGAGTTGTAAGAGTTCTTTGTATATCCCACAAAGGATAAGATAGGTATGCTTTGGTTCTGAGGTACAGGATTTTCAAATATTTTATCACATTTTGTGGAATGTCTTTTCATTTTCTTGATAATATCCTTCAATGCATAAAGTTTTTACTTTTTGGGAAATGTGACCTAACAATTTTTCCTTTTGTTGCTGATGCTTTTGGTATCATATTTAAGAAACCATTGCCTAATCCAAGGCCATGAAGATTTACTTATGTCAGCCTAATGGAGTTCTGAAAAAACCGGGTTTATGTAGCTAAATATGTCTTTAAAGCCTATTAAAGAAAAAAAAAAAAGCAGCCAAATATACACTGAATTATCTGAAGAAGTAAAAACACTAAATGTACTTACAAATCATATTAGTCACAAAAACTCACAAGCTTCATTGCAGTCAGAGAGATCCAGTTTTAAAGTGAGATTCCAGAGTTTCAGCAGAAACTTAAAGTCATTTCTAAACTGTACCAATGAAGGAAATGGACTATGAAGCAGTCCACTTCAAGTGATTTACTATGGAAAGGAAGAAAAGAATCTGTCCATAGCAGATGAAAAGATCCTTTATGCATGTGAAGATGTGGACACTTATAGAATACAAGCCAAATCCTTTTAGAAAATCAGAAAGAACGGGGCGCCTGGGTGGCTCAGTCGGTTGAGCGTCCGACTTCAGTCCAGGTCATGATCTCATAGTCCATGGGTTCGAGCCCCGCATTGGGCTCTGTAATGACAGCTTGGAGCCCGGAGCCTGTTTCAGATTCTGTGTCTCCCTCTCTCTCTGACCCTTCCCTGTTCATGCTCTGTCTCCTCTGTCTCAAAAATAAATAAACATTAAAAAAAATTTTTTTTAAAAATCAGAAAGAACCATTGGGTCTTTGATTTTCAATTATCATGAGGGAAAAAGGCTTATATTTGGTGAGATATCTGTTGGCTGAAAAAAACGTTGGTAAGAAAATCAAATCCATACTTCAGAGAAATAAGTGATTTAGGAAGAATTTAAATCTCGACTTTGCAAAAAGTATCTTTATGTCCCTGATGTCCCAAAATGGGCATTTGGCAGAGGCTCAGGAGCTGCTGAAACTCCCTGGTACAAGGAAAGAGGTCCATTAAGTTGGGATGGCTTGAAGATCCAGGATCTTGTGCCTGTGTGGACCACAGTCCTCAGGCCGACTGCATCCTGACACAGCATTTCCTCCACAACAGCAAGACAAGTTGTTCTGGTGCTCTCCGTGCTGGAGGATCCTCAAGACCTTCTTTTGACAACTCTAAGACATGCACTTGCAGAAATACAGGCCAATAGGAATGACACCATGGATGACCTTGGTCATTTAATTATGCCAGATTCAATCCTCTCACCTGAATGGAAGGCAGCTGACCCTGGGCTCTGTTGTTCTAAGTCATCCTCCTGTCAGAGGTCAGAGCACAGATGGGTCCCAGGAAATAGTTCCTGACAAGAGAACCTCCTGTCATGTTCTTTTCTCTGGAAAGCCAGTTTGGACCTCTCAAGAATCTTTTCCACAGAGGGATGTCCTTGGCCCAGCACATTCTTCATTGGCAACAAGAAACATCTCTAAACAAGTGCTGGATTTTGGTTTTTCTGTTCATACAACATTAAAACAGAAGTGAGGCACCTTCAGAATTGGTCTAGCCTTCTAATGAACCTATTCCTAAAGACCAGAATCATAAGAAAAATGCATTTTTGATTTCTCCTAACGTAACTTTTGATATTTTCTCCTAGTTTCACTGCTATTAAGTGATCATTCCATGCCTCAAATGGAAGATGGAATTATAATTCTTAAGACACTGTTTTATTACTGTATATTATTTAAACATGATTCTTAAAAGGAAATTGTTTCCATTTTATTCTATTTGTAGGTATGGTTTTACAGTATTTTTGTCATCGTTGTTGACAAGTCCACTAAAATAATCCAGGAACACAGCAAGAATTTTGCCTAATAAAATAATTTTCAGTGTTTTCTCTTTTTAGTTTTATTCCTATTAGTTAACTGGTATACAAGTGCTCAAATGGAAACATTATAGAATTACGGTTCTCAGGACAATGTTTCATAAATATACATCACATAAATAGGAGTTTTGTTAGTAAATTGCTTCCATTTTATTCAATTTCTACAAAAAGTATATTATTTTTGATATTGCTATTAAACAAGTCTCTTCTACTGATCCAGGAAAACATAATAATTTTGTCTCCTAAACTATTTTTCAATTTGCTCTTCTTTAGTCTTTCTCCTGTCATTATGTGATTACACAATTGCTGAAATGGAAGCTCAGCAGAACTGTAATTTTTAAGATAGTGTTTATAAATTTATTTAAAAGTGAATGTCATTTTCTCTGTTTCTAGATAGTCTGAAGATAGCATTTCAATTGTTTAACTTAAACTCCCCAGTAACATTGTCGTCAAAGTATCATGTCGATATCAGTTGTTACAGAAGACCTCTGGAGGGAATGGTATCAGACATCAGATGTGCTAATCATTGATTGGAAATACAAATCAATACATGTAAAAAGCAATGCCAGTGATATGCTATTGGAGTCCTGAAGCTGCATTCCCCAGCCCTGTTGAGGAAGCAGAAATTGAGTTAAACCAAGGTCAGAGGTAGAGCACCAAGCAACAGATTCTAGTTTTAAACAGACTGCTGCCAATGATTTTCTCAAACCATGGGCCAAATGCAGAATGCAGAGTTTGCCCTTTTTTGTGTTTTGGGACAAAAAAAATTTAACCTAACATCCATAAGGCTGTTGTGAGAATTAAATGAAATAACACATCTATGGTGCTTGCATGAATAAATAACAGCTGCTATCATGATTACTGCCATTTAGAAATATTATGGTGGAAAGCAGTGAAGAGAAAAAAGTTACAGGTTAGATTCACTATACCAAAAGGAGAATAATAATCTTGACTAGTATCATAATTGGAGTTCTTAAAATGTAATCAAATCCAGAGGGAGCAAGTTTAAGAAAAAAATTAATGGATTCATATTAATTTAAATTATGAAACATTTCAATATTTGAGAACCATGAACTAATTTGGAACTGTTTAATACTTCTTATAAAGGCTAGTAATAGTGATGGCATAAAATAAATTTGTAGGTGGCAAAATTTAATTTTTTTTTTTCAACATTTATTTATTTTTGGGACAGAGAGAGACAGAGCATGAACGGGGGAGGGGCAGAGAGAGAGGGAGACACAGAATCGGAAACAGGCTCCAGGCTCTGAGCCATCAGCCCAGAGCCCGAAGCGGGGCTCGAACTCACGGACCGCGAGATCGTGACCTGGCTGAAGTCGGATGCTCAACCGACTGCGCCACCCAGGCGCCCCTGTAGGTGGCAAAATTTAAAGTTAATGTAAATCTGAAGAGCTGCGACATGGATGGAGAAAAAGAAAATGAATGACTTGTTTATTGATAAGATGTGATTATCGTTAAACAAAAGAGTGGATAAATGAACACTGAATTAGCTAAAATGTTAAGAAGAGAAAAAGTAATACTGAGAGCTGTCAGGAAGAGAATTAACACCATTAACTGTCAATGTAGAGGACACCTGAGGAGTGGCTGCTTGGCCTTACAGAGAGGCCTCTTCTCTAAGAACCCTCCCCAGGAGACAGGGGCAGGCTCAGGCAGAACCTGATGCACTTTGAGGAGTCGATGGGTCCAGAATAAATGTGACCTAGTTAGGCCAGTAAGATTGGATCTCAGGACTTGGGGATTTGGAGGTGAGTGATAGACTGGGAGTCAGAATCATATTCATAGCAGTACTCTAGGGGTAAATAAGGTCTGTAGATTTATTGTTAAGGACCTTAAACTTGCCTTGGCTCCTGTTTCAACAACATTCAACGAATTCCCTAGGTCAGGTACCATGCCCTCCTTATCCCTCCCTTCCTCCCCAGCCCCATCTTTTTGGCTCAACCCAGCCTGATTAAGTTTCCGTTATTTAAAATCAGGAAAAATATTTCAAAACAAATCATCTGAAGTAATATTTATACAGCATCAAAAACAGTACCACTTTCACATTATCAATGAAATTCTAAGTACTAAATGTAAATTCTCTGTGAAGTTTATTTCAATGTGAATAATGAAGCTCTGGAAATTCCAGCAAAGATAAATGTGAACAAGAGAGAGGCAATACTAGTTTTCAATAAAAAGAAAGAACATGATTTTTCCAATGTACTACATGATCTTTTTATTTGTCATTTTGCAAGTGGAAAACTGATGGAAACTATGTCACAGGTCTACACGCTGTTATTTGGGAACTACTGAATGAAACCCTAGAGATTCTGAAATATAGAATTAAAAAAAATCTTTTGATTATTCAGTAAACTCATTTTTATAAACAGGGACTGAGGTCAGGAGAAATTGATCACCTTCAGGACGATAATTTTAGGCAAGGCTGCATTAGAACCCTATCTAATGCTCTTTGGACAAAAACACATTGCTAAAGAAATGTTTCCTCACAACTGGAAATATAATGAATAAAATAATGGTAGCCTATTCATTACAGATAGCTTGTTGGTGATCAAAGCTTGCTTTGTCATGCTGTAAATGTTTAAATTGTAACAGTCTAGACATTTCGTTAATATTTCTTAAAGAATGGGAGATATTAATTTATCCACTTATGAGTCACCATGGATAAAGAAAACAAATAAATGAAATTGCCATTATAATGTGAAATGCTGCAACATAATAACAATTTGATGTTCTTGTTTAAGATTTCAAATTGAATGTTGATTAGTTAGCAATATATTATACTAAAATTTTCATTTCAGAAATAGTTCATTAGTCTAGAATTTGTGGATAGGGACATTTGTAATTATTTCTCCCACAACTGAAAAGATACAACCTCCAATGCACAACTTTGGATATATACAAGAAGCACAAGTTTTGCAGTTAACATTGGTCATGGAAAACTGGCTATAGGGCCATCTATGGGGGCCTGTTTCAACTATAGGAAAATTTCTCCTCTTGATATTTTCCCTATAAAATGATGGCAAAGTTAAATGAATCTGGATCTTCTGTCACCCTGTAATTTTTATTGACTTTAACATTTTCATTCCATTTACTAAATAAAGTAAAATCAATTTTCTGTAATGAATACACATTATTTTCATTATTGGGAGAAATAAACTTTACTATTAGAATAAGTGCAATCAAGTCATGATTGTTTTCCCCTATAGTTGGTAATTTCTAGACCATTTATTTATTTATTTATTTTTAAGTTTATTTACTTATTTTGAGAGAGACAGAGACAGCATGAGCAGGGGAGGGGCAGAGAGAGAGGGGGAGAGAGAGAGACAGAGAGAATCCCAAGCAGGCTCTGCACTGTCAGCACAGAGCTTGATGCAGGGCTCAAACTCACAAAACCGTGAGGTCATGAGCTGAGTGGATCAGAGAGTCAGACACTTACTTAACTGACTGAGCCACCCAGGCACCCCTTGACCCTCTATTTAAACCAAGCCTACCAATTTCAGGCTTAAAACTAAGTTCCAGGGATCTACCATACAACTTTGTGCCCATAGTTAACAATACCATATGGTACTTTTTTTAAGAGGATAGATCTCAGGTTAAGCGTTCTTAATTCAATAAAATCAATTAAATCTATGTAATATACATATTTTGTTTTCAATGAACATAATGAAAATTTTAAAACTCACTTTTTTTCCTAATTTTAAAAGTAATGCAGAGACTTCCAGGTCTGGGATGAGGTGGAGTAGCTGCACTTCTCCCCATCTCTCCTGCTAAGTACAACTAAAAACCCCAGATGGAATCATGAAACAAATACATGAAAACTCTGAAAAGATGGAGAAAAGGCAGATTGGCTAGTTACATTGAAAGACATGGCAGTGAATTCCCTGGGTTTTCTTTTTGCTTCATATTTCTCAGACTGGGTGCTGGAGATGCAGGCACCCTAGAAATGCCAGCAGGCTCAGACACAAAAAAGGCCCCAAAAGCCTGCTCTCTCTAGACAAAGCACCAGGAAAGGAAGAGCCTAGCAAGAAAGAAACATTCAGTTAATAACCACTCATGCAGAAAAAGGTTAACATTGAGAGGTCTGAGCCATAGAACGTCCTGCTTGCAAGGTGGGCCTTTGGCTAGCCTCTGGGAACTTCACTGATAAAAACAGTTCCCGACACCGATTATTAAACTTTCCTTAAATGATACAGATGCTTCACTGTGCCTTGACTGTTCATGCAAATGATAGGGTTTAAACTGTACATCTGCTTTCCTTTTGAGGGTCTGGAATTGGTGCTAAGCAGTGGGTACCTATATGACCAGACCAAAAAACCTTGGGCACTGAGTTTCTAATGAACTTCCCTGGAAGACAACACGTTATACCCATTCTCACAATTCACTGATGGAAAAATTAAGTGCATCCTGGGCAATTCTACTGGGGGAGAACTCTTAGAATCTTGTGCCTGGTTTCCTCTAGACTTCACTCCACAAAAATTTTCCTTTGCTGATTATGCTTTGTAACATTTACTGAAAGTATCATTGAGGAATACAACTGTACATTGAGTCCTGTGAGTACTCCTGCTGTATCACTGAACATGAGAGTATTCTTGGAGACGCCCAACATACTGCCATACTCCAACCAAGTATCAGAAAAAGTGGTGGTCCCACCCCCACCCCTGTAAGCAATAGCCCAGTGGGAAATGTAGACTTTCACTCATGCCAGACTATAATGAGGTACCCCAACCCTCTACCAGGATAGTGTCAAAGAAAGCTGAGTGGGAAGCCAGAACTTTTACCATCTTCTAATGGAAATGTGGTCCTCCCGCAACCCCATCTCCCATAATGTCAGTGGAGGCCGTGTGGGGAGTAGTGATGAGGCATCCTTCTACCTCCCAACTATGGGGGCTTTCAGTTGAAGTCTGGTGGAGAACCTGAACTCCCACTCCTATACACCCCTTTGTCACAAGGGGTGACAAAGAATGCCTAATGGGGATATGAACTTATACCCTAACCAGGAAGTTATAAGGTGTCATCCCCGTAACCCCACTCTGTGGTGTCAGAGAAGGCCTGATAAAACAGAAGATTTAAATAAGATCCAGAGCATCATAATGTAATACCCCAAATGTTCAGGATACAGTAGGAAGGTACTTTTCATACTAACAACCAGGAAAATCTCAATTTGGATGAGAAAGACAACAGATGCCAACACTGAGAGAACACAGATGTTGGAATTACTTGATAAGGATTTTAAAACAGCCAGCATTAAAAATGATTCAATAAACAATTATGAACATGCTTGAAACAAAAAGTTTCAGCAAAGAAATGAAAGACATAAAAGACAGATAGACATTTTAGAACTGAAAGATTACAATATCCTAAAGTAAAAAACTTTTTAAATTAGTGGATGGGCTCAACAGAAGAATAGAGGAGTACAGAAGAATCAGTAAACCTGAAGATATATAATAGAAGTGATCCAATCTGAACAATAAAAAGAAAATGGATTTAAAAAAATTAACAGTCTTGAGGACCTGTGAGCTATACTAAAAGATCTAACATTTGTGCCAGTAGAGTCCTGGGAGGAGAGGAGAAAGAGGGTAGACCTGAAGAAGTATTTAAAGAAAAAATTTCTGGGGGTGTTTGGGTGGCTCAGTCAGTTAAGTGTCTGACTCTTGATTTCGGCTTGTCATGATCTCATGTTTGTGAGATAAAGCCCCACATTGGGCTCTGCACTGACAGCACGTAGCCTGCTTGGGATTCTCTCTCACTCTCTCCACCCCTCACCTGCTCCCATGCATGCACATTTGTATACGTGCTCTCTCTCAAAATAAATAAACAAACTTAAAAAAAAATTACAAACTGGGGAGAGTAAAGAAACTCAAATGGAGTTAAGGTTTTTATATTTCACTCAAACTAATAAAACGCCATCTCCAGTAGGCTGTGATAAGTTATGTATACATAATGTAATACCTAGAGCAACCATTGCAAATTTATACAAAAAGATATACTTGAAAACATTACAGACAAATCAAAATGGAATTGTAAAATCGTGTTCAAGTAACCAGCTGAAAGACATGAAAAAGAAAACAGAAAAACCAAAAGCAGAAGGAACAGCAAACAATAAATTGGCAGACTGAAGCGTTAACATATCAGTAATTACATTACCTATAAATGGTCTATTTTGTTTGTAAAAGCCAAAAACTGAAAAAAAAAACAACCCAAAATTTCCAAACTGGTGAATAAATAGACAAATTGTGGTAAATCCATGCCAGGGTATTCTACTCAGCCACAAAAGGGAGTTGCTACAAACAATAGTTTGAATAGCTCTCAAGTGTCTTACAGTGAATGAAAAAAAAAAAATTTCTAAAGACACATGTTTGGGGCGCCTAGGTGGTTCAGTCTGTTAAGCATCTGACTCTTGATTTTGGCTCAGGTCATGATCTCATAGTTCGTGAGTTTAAGCCCCAAGTCGAGCTCTGCACTGGCAGGGCAGAGACTGCTTGGAATTCTTCTCTCTCCCTTTCTCTCTTCCCCTTCCCCATTCATGCTCACTCTCTCTCTCAAAATAAATAAATGAACATTTTAAAAAAAGGCATATATTGTATGATTCCATTTACATAACATTCTAGAAATGACAAAAGCATAAAGATGGGAAACAAATTAGTGACCAAGGGTTAGGAATGGGAGGAGGAATGGGGGTGTGGGTGGGTACAAAGGGCAGCACAAGGATATCTTTGTGGTGATGGAAGAGTTCCGTATCTTGACTGTAGTGGTTATGTGAATCTGTACGTGTAACATATGGCATAGAATTATATGTAAACACAAGTACCAATGTTAGTGTTTTGATACTGCAGTATAGCTGTGCAAGACATAATCATTAGAAAAAAAATTCAGTGAAGGGTGCACATGATCTCCCTTTTTGCAACTGCCTGTAAATCTGTAATTATTTTTTTAATTACACATAAACTGTGCATACAAATGGGTGAACGTCTACAGCATAGAAAAGACTTGCAAAGATAGGCATAAAATTATGTGTTAAGGATATATCTCTTTTATTTGAATTTTTTAAAAAATGCAAAGTTATTGCATTTCAAAATCCAAATATAGAAAAATATAAACAAGATGAAAATCACTTCCTCTATGATGCCATCAAGAGAGAATTTTAATTCACTCATTTAACAGATACTGAGTGCATCCTATGGTGCCGTGAACTGTTAACATTTCAGTGTGTATGTCAGAACTTTCCCGTGCATCTAGAGTCATATACAAATTATCATCATTCATGGATATGCAGTATTCTATGCATAATATGTATTATTGTGTAACAAGCTCTCATTACTTGATGTTTTCTTCATTAATATTCATCCATTCAGCAAATATTTAATTACCTGCTTTAGCCAACATCAATGCTAGACTCCAAAAATATAATGGTGAATTAATCAGATATGGTCTGTTTCCTCACAAAGCTTACAATATAGTGACAGACGGTCACTAAACAATTTTTTTGAGATAAATTCACAATTACAGTTTGTGTCAAGTTTACACAAATATAAACAATGTTTGAAATACTCAGCAGGGCTGCCTGGGTGGCTCAGTTGGTTAAGCTTCCGACTTTGGCTCAGGTCATGATCTCACAGTTTGTGGGACAGCTCAGAGCCTGGAGCCTCCTTCTGATTCTGTCTCTCTCTGTCCCTCCCCTGCTTGCACTCTGCCTCTCTCTCAAAAATAAATAAACATTAAAGAAAATTTTTTTGAAATTCTCAGCTGTGAAAGGAAAGGTATCTTGATGGCAAGATATCAAAGCATGTTTATCATTGATGGAAATGAACCAGTAGAGAGAAAGGTTAAAAATATAGGTGTGAGAGAGGATAACAGAATTAAAGAAAGCTGAGAAGGAAGGAGCCAGAGCACAAGTATAAGGGTTGGCTTCAGGTGGAAGGAAACTACCACATTGAAATAGAAGCAAAAGAGGCAAAGACAAGTACAGATATAATTTAGTTTATAGATTCAGAGGTCTGAAGTTGAAGCAATTCCTTTTTGAGACCTTCTATTTTCTTATCAAAAATATAAGAGAAAGTCATCTGCCAAGAACAGGATGTAAACTGGAAGATCTGAGGTTTAAAGACAGTTGTGGTTTTCAGTTGCCATTTGGAAAAGCAACCTAAATAGAGAAAGTAAACTTGCCAGGCCAAGTTAAGATACTGTGGAGTCTGCCATATGGGCCAGATTCTGACCATTTTCAGCACACTGACTGCAGTCAGAGAAAGGTCAAGGGAACAGATTCTAGATGAGAGAAATAAAGCGCTGTAGTAACTAAAATTTAAAAGAAAGAAAACAAGAAAGAAAGAAGGGAAGTAGTTTTCAACTGGGGGGGAGAGAAAGAAAATGGCATGAGAGAAAGGGGAAGGAAGTAAACAGGTCAGGGGAACATGGAGGTAAAAGCAAGGTGGTAGTGGATGTCTGGCTGGGGTGCAGCAATGTCCTTTAGCCTCACAATCCAAACATGATCACAGTGATATCAGCAGTTTAACATCAGATTTTATGAAATTGGTTCCATGTTTCTTTTAGTATCTTAGACCCAACAACCTACTGAAACTCGGAATTCCCAGGCCTCTAGCTGCTTCAACGAATTATGAGTGAGGCACAAGTACATTAGAAGAGAGGGTCTAGTGAGCAACAAGAGGCAGAAGTTTAATTATTCACTTCCTAATGGCACTTGTGAGTTGCTATGAGCACTTTTTAAAAGTCCATTTTGTATTTATTCCTAGTTACCAGGAATCCAGCACCTTTATTCTTAACATAATTTTTGATTTCATGAATGTTTACCTTAATAGAAATGGACTTGGAAGAACTGACATATGGGCAAATCATCTGTTAGATGGACTCTGTCCAAAATAGTTTGCTACCATTATTCTCTGAGAAATCCACTGTTCAACAATTAGGAATTATTAAATTATCCACACTCGGGGAACACCAAACTTATCAGACCTTTCATTTAATGGCTATTTTACTATTAAAAAGAAGAATCTCTTTATGATTCCTGTTGCTTAGAATTAAACTTTAAAATGCTTTAGTTGACATTTATGATGAACAAAAACAAGCTTCTCTAATAACAGCAAAAAAATACAAAGTGGCCAAGCAACTGGTTAGCACATGAACAAGGTACAGACTGGGTTGAAAGAAAACTGTAATTCATTCTAGAGTTCAATCCCTGGTTTTTGACCATCTCTTTGGCTGGACTGTTAATGTGTGATTCTTGTACAAATTCTTTTAATTTTGGGTTTTCCTTTCCTCTCTCTCTCCCCGCCCCCCCCTTTTTTTTTTTTAAAGAAAGAGGGTATATAGTTTTTTCTTTTTATTGAAAATGTTTCATTTTTAAAAATGAGAGATTTTTCATGCATTACTAGTGCAATAAAAATTACCAAAAGAGAGAGGTAAGGAGAACATAAAATAGTGTTTGCCTTAACTAAAAAATTGTTAGGACACAAAACTTGGTTCTTTGCTTCTCTTGGTCACAGCCAAAAGGGAAACCTGAATCAGTTACATCACTGCCAGTTAGAAGGAAAAAAAATACATAATTCAAAGACTGGTGCTTATGTGAGGCCAATATGCTCATTTTCCCTTCCTTTTCAAAATTTTAAGTTTTGCTTGGCGCCATATACAACAATCTAGTGGCAATTTATTTTTTTGTTTCCTCCTGTCTGACATCAAGTGATGCACGTTGGGAGTTCATTGTATGAATCAGATTGGAACTGCTCTGAATTTCCATTAAAATCTACAGTTCTTTTGTCAGGGTTTGGAAATGGCTTACCTCGCATTCAGAGGGAAAAATGGAGTGGGGGCGGGGATGGGCAGGTGGGGGCAAAATTCTATACTGGAGTAACCTCGATGGCAGCTCTCATACTGAGATTCGCTGCCTTGGTTTTCTGAGCGATTTAGGCTTGCCCCTTCCCATTCCTGACGGTCCTCAATTTACCCTTACACTGGATAAAATGGGTAGAAGTTTAGGCTCCTAAAATCACTAGTGCAGGTAGCCCCTGATGCCAAGGAGGGAGTCTAAAATCTTCAGTCATCAAAGGTCACCTTTTAGCCCTCATCCGGAACATGACACAGCCACACGAGTCCTACGGCAGAGTCCTACGAAGGTCTCAGCACCCCCCGGGAAGCCAGCGCAACACCACTGACACACCTCCGACTTCGGCGAAACAATACCAAAGACGTCAAATCCCTGAAGCACCCGCCAGCTCTGCGCCCACTAGAGGGCGCATGCGCAGAACGGGGGGAGGGCGGGCAGCCATCCAAGGATCGTAGGTATCTGAACAGGGGGTAACTGTCTCGGAAAGGCCTGGCTCCGTCGCCAGGTGAGGAGATCCCTGATAGCAGCTATATAGGATTAGCCTCACCAAAGACAAACACGAGAAGCAGCCGTCTGGTCTCCGGCGCGTTTCCGTTTCAAACTTGAACTTCCGGTTCGTTAGCCGGTTCCGGTCCGTCTTCACTTCCGGTCACCCTCTGTTCCGCCGCGGCCGGTTCTTGCGTCCACTGCTGCCGGTTCCGCCGCGCTCCAGGTGAGGGACGCGGGGCACCTCGGTGCGTTGCCCACTGAGAGGCCGTTGGGGCCGAGGGGGCGAAGCTCAGCCCTGCTGTTGGCGCGGCGGGCCGACCGCTGGAGGGCTGGAGGCTGCTTGTGGGCGCCCTGGGCCGCGTCTGCCCTAGTCTGCGGCCCAGGCCTCCGGCCCGGCCCGCTCGTCGCAGGGGCTGCCGCCCTCCCATCCGGCCTTGTCTATGTCGTGGGCTTCCCGTCCCCCAGTGGGTTTTGCGTCCCCAAACTTCATTCCTCCCTCCTCCGGGGTTTGTCCATCTCTCCTCCTCCTTCCTATTGAAGGCATCCCGGCCTCTGGGGTTTTTGAGTATGGATTATGCTTGTATGTTGTCCCAGGGCTGCTGCCTCTGCACTACCACACAGTTTCTTCTGCTGTGCTGTAGGCTTGTTGAAAAGTTAACCTACTCCCAATTCCCAAGGTGTTAACTTCTGCTGCTGTTAGTTCCAAAATTCCACCTTTGCCACATGTTAGTTGTGTGGTCTTGGACAAGTTGTTTTCTTTCTTTTTCAGTTTTTGAATCTCTATGATGAAGACAATAGTTGTTCAGGATTGTAAAGATTAAGTGATATAATTAAGTTGTTTAGCGTGCTGGCCTTGTTCTGTTATCTCCACCATTTGTCTTCCTCTCTACAGTTTACAAAGTGCTGTCAGGGTGTTATCTCATCCTTAGCACTGTTCTTGCTAAGTAGATCTTAATTACCTCATTTGGGGTCAGGAATTTTGGAACTGACTAGGCAAGTCAGTACAGTATGTTAGGCAGAAGAGCTAACCCAAACAGCTCTTCCTGACTCTAGGTTCACCCTAAAGGTGTGAACCTTACTTACTTGTTTGGGTTTAATTGACCCCCCCCCTCCCAAATCCTTTTTCAGTTTATAAATCTGATAGGGCCTAGAAAGATACAAAGTACAGTAAAACCTTGGTTTGGGAGCATAATTCGTTCTGGAAACATGCTTGTAATCTAAAGTACTTGTATATCAAAGCAAATTTCAAGAACCATTGGCTTAGTTGTGATCATGGGATCATTTAAATGTGATCATGTAGCGTCACATACTACTATTGCAGGACATCATTCGTTTATCAAGTTAAAGTTTATTAGGAAAATTTGCACATCGTGGAGAACACTCGCACAACAAGTTACTCAGAATCCAAGGTTTTCCTGTATTAGAATTGTGTGAGAAAGGTTAAATGTGAAAACAAAATGACTCATGAGTTTGCATTGTGTTGTTCCTTTGTGAATGATCTCACTATTGAAGAAATGAAGTTGAAAAGTAGTTTTAGGGCTATGAATTTAAAAATATTAATGGTGTTTGTTTTGTTATGCTTGGTCCTTTAGAGCACTTGCTAACTTGGAATTCCCACTAGTGGTATAGGTGATGTATAACATTTGTATACTACTTTATTAAGCATAAGAGCCCATGCCATTCAGCGTATTTTCTTTCTTAGCCGAGAAAATTGAGGAGTCTAGAGTATTGGCTCTCAAACTTTTAGTGTGCCTCAGAAATGGTGGGGTTGGGGGAGGCTGGGACAGGGACTGTTAAAACACAAATTGCTAGGTCCTTTCTCTCCAGCCCCAATTATGTTTTTAACAAGTTACCAAGTAGGGTCATGCTGTCATTGGTCTGAGACCACACTTTGAGAATGCTGGTCTAGAGGTGACTTGTCTAAACTCATCTGGAGCTCAGGTGACCTCACTCCAAACTCTATGCTCCCCTCAACACAACATAAACTGTTAGTACTGGTTGCATTCCTAGCTCTAGTGAATTTTCATTTTTATTCCCACCTTCACAGAAAAATAGTATTTAAACCATATTTCAGTTTGGTTCAAGAGGTCTGTTTGGCGCTTTATTGACGATCATAACATTTGCTAGCAAGTTATCTCTAAAATGGATTACATTGCCCTAAATTAACACACTTTATTTAAATTTCAGTAGTGTAGGTTGTAAACGTAAGAGGGTAAGTATTAAGTGAATTTATGGTGCTATCTTCTAGTGGACATGGTGAAGACAGTTTAAGTTTCTAAATTATTTTCACATGATTCAGTTTGCTGTCTTGCTGTTGGTCATAATTCAGGAAGAATGCAAGCAAATATTTCATTAAATAAGTGATAGCATTTGTAAAGACCAATACTTTTGAAATTAGGAAATTCCGTTCTCTGACCTGTGAGGGAAATGAACCTAGGAAAACTGGTAGAAAGCTTTTAGAGGGAAGAGACCTACATGTTAATGGTTGATAAGAATAGTAGCTGCTGTATAATTTTGTGTGCTTATATCTGTGTCTGTGGGTTTTGTATTTACTGATCTTTCAAGAGACACAGTTGTGATGTAGGAGAAGAAACATGAAATTTAGTCAGAAGACCTGTTATGTTCCCACCTATGTGCCCATGAAAAGATTACATACTTCTCCGAAGTATCTTCTCCGAAGATTACTCTCCGAACTCTCGTTTCCTTAATTGTAAAAGAGGGACAATTCTTATCAACCTTGTTAAATGACATTGCATGAAAACTGTATAACTTACTAAATATGAAACAAATAATGGCTGTTTGCTATTTAGCACAGTGTGCCTGGAATACTTCAGTTCCAGTTTTTAAGAAAATTTATTTAGCCAGTGCTTAATTTGTGTAGTGCTTACTATGTGCCAGGTCTATGTGACTTATAAATATTAGCTAATTTAACCCTCATAAGAACCCCACAGTAGGTAGTATTATCTAGACACTAAGAGTCTGTAAACCTAGACACTAAGAGTCTGGTAACTTCCCAAAGTCAAATAGCTAGTAAGTGGGAAAGCTGGGATCTGAACCCAGGTACTCTAGAGTTTGCCCTTTTAACAACTCTCTGTACCACTTCTCAAATGTTAAATAAATATGAATGGTCCATCATAGAGAAACTTGCCTGTAGCATAAACCTGGTCAAAGAGGAAGGTATAGGTAGCTTATCATTGCAGCTTAACGGTTGGACAGGCAGAATCTGAGTGTTATGAAGTAGTAACTTAAGCCAAAAATTGGGAGGGTAGGGGAATTTTAACTTTGAATCCTAATAACTTTTGGTGTTCTGGTAGCATTTCTGTAAGGAGAAAATCTTGTTTCTCCACCATCAAGTTGTAAAGAAAGACTCAAAGTACATTGCTCCTAAAATTTAGTTACAAGTTTGGCTACATCTTTGATGTATCTATTTTAACTTATTTACTTGTATATCTCTCTCTTTTTAGGAATCTTTTTCTGAGTAAAAGCTGCTTGATCATATGTTTCAAGGATGGCTCTCCCTATCATTGTAAAATGGGGTGGACAGGAATATTCAGTGACCACACTTTCAGAAGATGATACTGTGCTAGATCTCAAGCAATTTCTTAAGACCCTTACAGGAGTGCTACCAGAACGCCAAAAGTTACTTGGACTCAAAGTTAAAGGTAATTCTCTCTTCGCTTTAAACTTCTTGCATTCATATGTTTGTGATTTTTTTATATTAGCTATTATCATTTCTCTTTAGTAAGTCTTTCCCCTTGGAGATTTCTTTGATAAGGATATTCCTAAAATTGTTTTATAGTAAAAGTGTGAATTTTAAAAGTTACTTGAAAATACCATCACTATTAAGATTACTTTTGCTTCTTCTGCCAGTTGGTGTTTGCTTGTTAAACCTTTGGCACAGAAGCCTCAGGTAAAACAGCGTAATTTCTGACATCTTTGTTCTAGCACAGCTTTTTCATTACAGTTTGGTTCTTCTACTCTCCCTAAATTATCTTTGCTGCTTCAAAAATAATGATGATTTAAAAATTATAGGCAGTGTTCATATACAGCTTGAAAGTGTTTGTGTTTATCATATCATGGAAAGGTGAATTTTGGGTAGCAGTAAATCTTTAGTTTTATCTTAGGTGCTCAGTGCTCAAGACCTTTTGGAAAATATCTTCATTTTGAATGGCAAAATATAACATGAATTTGTTTCATTTAGCTAGCTGGATAAAAGTGTTCCTCTTAGATGGAGTTGGGGAAAAAAAATCTTGTGTTAGTTGTTACTTCTTAGTGTGTTAGACATTGCTAATTCAGCAGTGACAGTTTGTTAATTTAAGAAAAAAGAAACTGCTGTGGAATCTGTACCAAACCTTTTAATGTTAGGGTTTTATATAATGGGATAGTGAAACCAGCACCTGAACTTTAGTGAGAAAACAGTCATTTGCTTGTATTGTAGGCAAACCTGCAGAAAATGATGTTAAGCTTGGAGCTCTCAAACTGAAACCAAATACTAAAATCATGATGATGGGAACTCGTGAGGAGAGCTTGGTAAATGTTTACTTTTGTTACCATTTGTCCTTTTGAAGATATTATGATTTATATTACACTGTTATATCATAATTTTAATTGTGATAAAATTGTCAGTTTAACAGTCAGTGAAAAATTAAAGCTTCCCAATGTATGTGGTATTAACTCAGCAGAAAACAAATATTAGGGAACTTGTTAGTATATAGTTAGCTGTAAGTGTAGTGCAAATGGTCAAATTTAACATGGGTAAATCTGTCCAGTGAACATACATAATGAAGTATAAAATGTGGAAATTTTCTCACAGTCTATCTTTGAAAGATTCTTGAACTCAGATTGTATCTTTTATTTGCTTT